ATTCAAAGAAATATGGCGTATCTGTCGCAAACAATATCAGGCTTTCCCAAGATATGATCACCCTGTGGGCTATTAAATCAGCTGTCGGGAGACGTGGGATCTTCTTCATGCCATGTTCATTGTGCAGAGTAATCTCAACTCTTTCATTTCCTAAATCGTCAATCGCTTATCATCCGTCACCGTGTGGTGAACACGATTGAGTTTACCTCGTTCGTTGCAGTTGTAGGACGTTCAGACATTAGGTCACATTCCGCTCTTAAATTCAGTTGGCAACTGTTGATAAATCTGGAGTGTTATTTCCTAATGTGACAACCGTGTCAGCATGAATGTTCTTGGAGGCTAAACTTGTTTTAATGCAGGCACTTAGTAACATCATAGCTTCATTTTTTTCCATTTTCAAAAGACGCTGCCAGTTTTATTTTTTTAAGCATTTTACCCCAAGAATGGCCACTAGCACTAGTTACAGAAAGTGAAAGAAAAAGTAAAGATGTGTGTTTGAAGAAAGGATAAAGAGAAGGACAGGGATAAAGATCAAGGCATCAGAATATGCAGATTGACATTACATTTAATTTTTTGGAGATTATAGTTATCAAGGAAGCAAGTAAGAGGGTGGATTTCCACTGTCTGGAAGTGCGAGAGAAGAAGCTGTTGAATTAGAAGAGGCTGTTACATTTAACTGTTTTGACAGTAAAATGGCGGGACGGAGATATCAACCTCGTAGCACGCTTAAAGTCATGAAGTTGGGGCACCACTGAAAATAGCTTGTCAGAATAGTTGCCATGAAAAATATCTGTAGAAAAGAGACAGGGAAGGCATATCCCGTCTGTAAGAAAGTTACTGGAGTTGAGATGTCAGGTCAAGACCTATAGGTCTTTGAACAGTCAGATGTCAGTTTATCTGGTAAAAAATCAGCGCAGTTATTAATAAGCAGAGTTGAAATTAATGCGTACAAGGCTTCACAGCTCTAACGTACTCCTTCATAGTCAGCTTATGAATTTTCATCCAAAATATATATATATATATATATATATATATATATATATATATATATATATATATGGGGGAGTGCAAACGTTCACTTTCCAGTCCCAAAAGCCGGGTTCAATTTTCAACATGCCAGAATTATCAGTACGGTCGCCTTTTGATTTTGCCAATCTATGGAGGCGATCCTAGCAAAACCAACAAAACGCTACTAAAAGTCGAGCCAAGACTTCTGAGTGAATTCAAATAAATGGAACTGTACGGAAGCCGTGACTGAATGTGTTAGCGCGAAATCATAAGTCATCGCGAGTAAGGGTTGAGAGTACCTGCCTTGTTCAAATTAAAGATTATGACTGATTAAGCGCTCTCTCCTAAAAGCTTTAAATAAAGTTGCTCAGCATAGTCGCAATGTAGAGTACAGGTGGGCTATGAAGGTATTAACTAAACACAAATATCCCTGAGCAGTTTTCTGTAACATGTATGCGCAAAAACACACTACGGGAGGGGTGTCCTCACAAAACTTGTGTAATTGGTCACACACACACACACACACATATATATATATATATATAAACATAAAACATTAGGCAGCATATAATTTACATAAGAAGAAATAATCACACATAGAATCAATCAGAAGTATTAATGCGATTATTGGCGACATCCATCGCTAGAAAACATAATATATGCATTAAAATACTGTTCATCCATAGTGCGAGTTGATCCTCATCGATAAACTTGTTGTCTGTAGTTTTCAGTTTATTTGATGTTAAAATGCTAGTACTTACGAATAGTCTTCTATTCATCATAAGGCATGCGTTTTTTTCCTTATAAAATCAAAAACTTGAAGACGATATATCTGTATGTCGACTGAAAGATGTTTTTTGAATATCTGCTATTATTGACGGTTGTGTAAGATCTCGGAACGTGCAAGGACGCAACGCTAAGTTTTTCAAAATTTTAAGTGAGAATTTTATTTAAATATTTCTTGTGAAGTGTTAAATCCACGTATTCTATTTTTACAAGTGTATTCAGTTTTTATGTCATGAACTAAGTATATAGTTCAATAATATAATGTAGTGTCATAATAGTAATTTTTTTTATAGGAATTTTTTGTACTGCGGATCGATAGTTTTTAATAAACATAAAACATTAGGCAGCATATGATTTACATACAAGAATTAATCACACATAGAATTAATAAGAAGTATCAATGCGATTATTGGCGACATCCGTCACTAGAAAACATAATATATGCATTAAAATCCTTTTCATCCATAGTGCGACTTTTGATCCTTGAAGAAAAACTTGTTGTCTGCAGTTTTTCAGTTTATTCGATGTTAAAATGCTAGTACTTACGGAGGGTCTACCATCCATCATCAGGCATGTGTTGTTTTTTTCTTATAAAATCAAAAACGTGAAGACGATATATCTGTATGTCGACCGAAAGATGTTTTTTGAATATCTGCTATTATTGACGGTTGTGTAAGATCTCGGAACGTGCAAATAATCGACGAAACTCAACATTTATCTCCACCTATCTTGATGATGATTTAAGAAAGCTTCTCGAAAGCTTGTACCATATTTATTTCAACTTTCTTCCGAAATGAACTTCGGAAAATTTGTGACGGAAATTCCTCCTTGTCTGAGAAGTTTTATTCATAAGTTGGAATAATCGATCAATAAAATTAATCAACACAAAATATCTGTTGTCTTTAATAATATTTGCTTTAAAGAATATTTGCTGCCAAACTTCACATCTCTCTCTCTGTCTCTCTCTCTCTCTCTATCTATCTATATATATATATATATATATATATATATATATATATATATATATATATGTATGTGTGTGTGTGTGTGTGTGTGTGTGTGTGTGTATGTAATTTGAACATAAATAAAAGTTATTTTCTATGGTGAATGCACTCATTTTTGTCAAAAGTTTCGAGAAGTAATTCAAATTATTACGAAACACTGTATTGTCATTCGAGAAAGAACTAACACTTTATATTTTAATAATGTCTCTTTCATTATATATATATATATATATATATATATATATATATATATATATATATATATATATATATATATATATATAACATGTTTGATTTATTATCAGTTTGCCTTGCAGAATTTATATCATTTAATAAAATGTAGTCTGTCTGATGAGGCAGGTATATATATATTCATATTTGTTGTAATAGATTTATAACTAATTATATTATTTATTTATATTATACTATGTATATAAATTCGTACATTGAGCTCTCATCATGGATTTAAAATTCTAATATTTTTATATAAATAAATAAATAAATAATAATAATAATAATAATAATAATAATAATTGGAATAATCCTTGCCACCTACCGAGAGAGAGAAAGGAAGAGAGATTGATATATAAATATATAAGGTGGGAATATTAAAAAAAGATTTATCATGCATGTAAACATGCATCGTTTAAAAGTAAGCTACCAAATATTTACGAAACATTAGGAATTTTTTTTGCTATATTGGAAAAACTATATATAAAAAGAAAGCAAGATGTACAAGCGAAAGTACTTGTTTGGTGTCTAATCTATAAAGGACATCTTTCTCTGAAGTTTTAATGTCTTTCATGTTATTTTTTAAGGTAGTCTTTTAGCATTACGTGTATTCCCTTTCAGTTATGACATTTACTTCTGTAATTCTGTTAATCTCGGAGATTAACCCAGTTTTGATCACGTTGGTTTGAGTAGATGAAACGCATTTGGAACCTTGTTTTGATAAATGACCAAAGATTTATTTTTATATACAAGTTATAAAAAAAAAACTTTGGTAAGTGGTATACTGTAGCGGGTTGAATGTGCAGTGTACTAAATGTAGAGTAAGAACGGGAAAAATGCGCATACTTAAGCCCAGCTGACTGCTTGTTAGTTACCGCGTTGCCGTGCATCCGTGAAGTCTCTCTCCGCTTTCTGTTGAAGTCTACTATCCGGCTTCTTATAGACTATATAAGGGAAATACGCGGAAGTAGTTGAAAGCATTTGTGGCAAACGAGATTCGCCCCCAATAATGACTACCAGTCTGATATGTCTCTCTTAAAAATTATTTTGATTAGAGTGCGACGTGTGTGTAAGTTAGCTAGACAAAAATTGGGGTGCAGTTTGAGATGTATATTTTCTAATAATTATGTAAATTTAGGGTTAATTTGTTAGCATAACTATGTGTAAATTGTATTTTTCCGCTACAGTTACATCGGTTTAATTATGAATGAATCTTCGCAAGTAATTCGATAATAATAATAATAATAATAATAATAATAATGATAATAATAATGGATGATGAAGATAACTATTGATATATCAAGTATGTCTCTCAAAGTTTATTATCTTGATTAAATAGCGGGGTTAAAATGTTCATATTGTGTTTTAATGGATTAACAAAGAATTTCTTGCTAATTATTTAAATTTATCCAGATGGGTTGACGTACCATTCATTTCTGCTCATGAGCGGGAGTTGATGAAACATCATGGTGTGGTTTTGTGAGTTTTTTTTTTTGTTTGCTTGTTTTGTTATTATTGTTTCAAGAATGAAATAGCCAAGGTGATCAGGTGGTATAAGCCTGCGTAAGTGCGTGAGTGCGTGGTTGGGGTAATGTATAATGGTTCGGAATTGTTAATCGGAGTGCCCAGTTAAAATTCCCATTGAGTTCGTTATACTTAATTAGGCACAAACAACCATGGGAAAAGGTATGAATCCAATTCTTTGTACTTGATTCACTAAAACATGTTTAATCTCAGAAACAGATTTCTTATAATCTAAAAATATATTCTGACTTTGAATAAACTTCAATACAAACACGCACCCCCCACACACACATATATATGTACAGATAGATAGATTTCAACAAACATAGATAGATAGATAGATTGATTGATTGATTGATTGATTTAAACAGACTGAGATCGCTAGATAGATGCATAGCTAGAGAGTTAGATCTGAACGAACTGAGATAGATTGATAAATATACTGACAGATTTGAACAGAAATAGATAGATAGATAGATAGATAGATAGATTGATTGATTGATTGATTTAAACAGACTGAGATCGCTAGATAGATGCATAGCTAGAGAGTTAGATCTGAACGAACTGAGATAGATTGATAAATATATAGATAGATTTGAACAGAAATAGATAGATAGATAGATAGATAGATTGATTGATTGATTGATTTAAACAGACTGAGATCGCTAGATAGATGCATAGCTAGAGAGTTAGATCTGAACGAACTGAGATAGATTGATAAATATACTGACAGATTTGAACAGAAATAGATAGATAGATAGATAGATTGATTGATTGATTGATTTAAACAGACTGAGATCGCTAGATAGATGCATAGCTAGAGAGTTAGATCTGAACGAACTGAGATAGATTGATAAATATATAGATAGATTTGAACAGAGATAGATAGATAGATAGATAGATTGATTGATTGATTGATTTAAACAGACTGAGATCGCTAGATAGATGCATAGCTAGAGAGTTAGATCTGAACGAACTGAGATAGATTGATAAATATATAGATAGATTTGAACAGAGATAGATAGATAGATAGATAGATAGATAGATAGATTGATTGATTGATTGATTTAAACAGACTGAGATCCCTAGATAGATGCATAGCTAGAGAGTTAGATCTGAACGAACTGAGATAGATTGATAAATATATAGATAGATTTGAACAGAGATAGATAGATAGATAGATAGATAGATAGATAGATAGATAGATAGATAGATTTGAACGTACTGAGGTAGATTTGAACAGACTGAAATAGATACAGCGAACGACGAAATTATTCGTTCACCGATCAATTTTGAATATTTTATCCATTCCTTGCCGGGATGATCTCAGGTTTTTTTGTATGTTAATGAGCACAAAGAAAGGAATATAAAATTCGATTTTCTGAACAATACGTTGTATACAACAAATCGGACAGGCGAATTATGCAAAATTCTTGGTACAGTAGAAAAAATAGCATTAAATTGATTGATTCGTATAAGTAATTTACGTAATTATGTTATAGATGAAAACTTCTAGACTATTTATTCAGTAGAATATTTGTGATAAATCGAGCAAAGAACATCATGTGGGGAATACAGTGTTACTATTGATATTTTCATGTTTACAACGCAATGGTGAATACAATGGAGCTTAGCTTTGACTTGAGAAAGAAAATTATTAACTTTCACAAAACGGGAAATAGTTATAGCTCTATTTCAAACCAATTAGCTGTCCCTAGATCTACAATACAGTCAGTTATAAAGAAGTTTAAACAATTTGGCACGGCAGGGAATTTGCCTGGGCGTGGAAGAAAACCCAAATTGTCACCAACAAATGTACGAAACTGTGTCGCTACGTTAATACAAACCCAAGAGTTGTTTTGAAAGACATCGTCAAAAGTTTGGATACGATGGGTATCAGCCTAAGTTCTCACACAATACAACATTGTTTAAATATAAATGGGTGGCATGGAAACCGACCACAATGAACCCCTCTTCACAAACCATGTCACATTGTTGCTTGGTTTCATTTTGCCAAAACGTTCTTGGACAAAGAAAATTGATTTTGGCAACAAGTACTAAGTAGTGAGGAAACAAAAAAACGGAGTTTTTTTGGACATAATGATTTACATAAGATTTGGAGCAAGAAAGGTGATGCTCTCCTCCCAATGAACACTGTGACAACATTAAAACATGGAGGCAGCTCAATGATGTTTTTGGTTGTTTTTGCTCAAGGGGGACTGGACAAGTAATTGCAATAAGAGGAATAATGTAATCTGCAGACTGTATCAAAATTATGGATGGTAATCTACAACTGTCAATATATTCGTATAAGTCGGCGATTTACTTTCTAGCAAGATAAGGATCCCAAACATACGTCGAAATCGGTCACTGGATGGCTTCAGAAAAATAGGATTACATTTCTGTCATGGTTTTCAATGAATCCTGAGTTGAATCCAATTGAAAATCTATTAAAAGAATTGAAAGTTTGAATAAATCGTCTGTCACCAAATAACCTTCAGGAATTAGAACGTGGAAACCATTGAAGATTGGAAGAAAATCCCAGAAAAGCCTTGTTCACATCTCATCAAAAACTTTAGAAAACGATTGTAGCAAGTTATAAAAATAAAAGGCCATACTATTGTGAAAATTGTTCAATTTGTTTCTATTTTTTATACAGTACGAATAATTTTGTCATTTCCTATTTTGCATAATTCGCCGGTCAAATTTGTTGGATTTAATCTATTGTCCTGAAAATGGAATTTTATATTCCTTTGTGTTTATTAACATGTAAAAAAACGTGGCATCATACGAGCATTAGATTCTGAGAAATGGATAAAAATATTCAAAATTGATGGCTGTACGAATAATTTCGTTGTTGACTGTAGATATATTTTGAACAGGCTGAGATAGATAGATAGATAGATAGATAGATAGATAGATAGATAGATAGATAGATAGACAGACAGACAGACAGATGGTGTCAGGTATCAGTTATCGCTGGGAAGATTTAATGAAGTACTTTAATTGTACATATTCCGCATTGCTTCAAGGAAATTTAGGTTGTTTCATCAACTACCGCAAAATGTCACACCTCATTTTTAGAACAAAGACGCTATCTTCTCACCAGGCATTTTATTTATCATTTTGAACAGCATTTTTATATCATTCATAATCAGTGGCAATTTGGCACGTAATACTCTACATATAATTAGTAAAAGTGTAGGGAGCTAAAAAGTGGAAACGCGGGCCAACTGTCGAGGCCTATAAAATGAAAAGATGTTAATTCGTATTCACAGTAGGTTTACATATGTGTTTGAGAAGAAATGCTTCAGATAATGATATACTCAAAAATATGTTTGAGAAAAAATCATATTTAAATCAGGAATTTGAGGATCTGCTATGAATTAACATGAAGACAGCAGGTCTCAACTAATTTGTTTCAGCTGTTTATTACGCTTTGTAAAACACCAATCCTTCCTATCTGTCTGTCTCTCTGTCTATCTATCCATCTTTGTCTGCAGTCTATCTATCTATCTATCTATCTATCTATCTATCTATCTATCTATGTATTTAATAAGCAAACTGCTACTATTAGCATTTATATCTATCTTTTTTTTTTAATAATATCGCCCTCATGCTAGGTAGCAAAGGAACAAAGGGGTACTGAGTGTGAATGAGTGAGAAATAATGGGAAATATTATTAAGGATGGAAGACAATAGAAATTTAATAATGAAGACTGTATATAATGAAGTAAAGTAATGCGGTTAAATTCATAAAATCTACGAGCGATATCGAAGAGTTCAATCAAAGAGACACAGGGAGACTACATCCCCCATATATATATATATATATATATATATATATATATATATATATGAGTGTGTGTGTGTCTGTCGTCTCACTAAGAATACACAGACACGTTGCCATTTATATATATATGAGTGTGTGTGTATGTACATGTGTGCGTGCGTGTGTGTGTGTGTGTGTATTCTCAGAGAGCCCCCCATATATATATATATATATATATATATATATATATATATATATATATATATATATATATAATACTAGTAGCATGGCCCGGCGTTGTCCGTGCTTGATTCAAAAATTGTACGACTCATACAGCAATCGCTATCACTTGACTGAAAATATTTATGCCTTTCTTGCATTCAAAAGAGAACCCTTTGCCGTGCTGATGTTGCTACATGCCTTACTTCTTGCCTATCTCACCTTGTTAATTTTTTCTAAGCTCTATACTAAACATTAAATCTCTTACGAAAAAAGAACTAAACAGAATGAACACAAAACGATCCGCTTTAAAAAAGGACTCGTAACTGGAAAAACCGAATGAAAAAAGAATGTTAACAACAAATACTTTTTCACACCAAACCCAGTTCTGCGGAATCAGAATCAACTTTGAGTTTAAGGAAGCGAATTAGCCAATTGGAATAAAGTGCCATGCAAATTTAAAGTTTTCCCACTTGTGACGAATACAGCTATCGAGTTTTTTTGCATGCTAGCATGCTAGTTAACATTTGTGTCAGTCAGCTTTTGGCTCTCATGCTGGCCAATAGAATCTTCCTGCCTAATCGTGGCAGCCAGCTATAGGCTCTCTCTTTGGCCAGTACAAAATGGCCGCAAACTACATGAAAACTGCCGAAGAAGCATGAAAAATCGATTATTTCCACTATCCATGGGAATTGGGAATTGAAAGTTGGTCTCGGCCTTCCCGCTAACAAATGTGTATGTAAATTTTGGGGCAAATCTGTCGAAAATTGCGGCCACATTCACACACACACACGCACATACTGCTTTTTTTATTGATAGAGATTAGTGGTAAATATACACATACATATTCACTCATATATCTTAAATATATAAATATATACATACACACACACACACACACACACACATATATATATATATATATATATATATATATATATATATATATATATATATATATATATATATGTATGAAAATAATTCCAAGATTATTGAATCCAGGTAGAACTCAATGTCCAGGACAGTGTAAGGATATAACAAAAAGGTTTAAACACTAATATTCCATGGTCATAATTTATTCCATTGGAATAGTAAATACGATCAAATTCATCAGACTTACAAATTAAAAAAAAAAAAAAAAAAGGAATTTTTGAATTTGTAGGTCTGATGAATTGGATCGTATTTACAATTCCAATAGAATAAATTATGACCATGAAATATTAGTGTTTATGGCTTTTTTATTATATTTTTTATCTATATATATATATATATATATATATATATATATATATATATATATATATATATATATATATATATATATATGGGTGTGTGTGTATGTAGTCTCACTGAGAATACACACACACAGATGTATGTATATTGACATTCATATATATATATGTGTGTGTGTGTGTGTGTGTGTGTGAGTGCGCATTCTCCCTGGACACCTTCTTCTTTCTCTTCTTCGTTAACTTCTGTAGGAATTTCTGCATTTTCCTTTCCGTGTTTGCTATCTGCATTATGCTATCTCCATATATTATGTTGTTAAGATTGTGGCCGCCAATGGAGAATCCTGGTATGATTTACTCTTCTCTCAGAATTGTCTCAATGAATAGGATGAATAAGTCCGGTGAGAAGACACTTCCTTGACTTACAACCCATTCTATTTTTTTGTATATCTGATAAAATCATTTTCTATCAGTTTGCTGGCGGTTTGCTGCCACTAGAGATTTTTGTTTATTCTAATATATTTCCGGAATATATACTGTGGCGAAATGGGCTGGATCAACAGTCTGGACAAGACTCGGTCACGATGACTTGTGACGTCGTGCTAGCACGCCCACCAACTATTCCGATCTGTGAACTCAATTTCACTCACCAGGCTTGGGTCAACCTCTGGTATTGTCTTTCAGTCACGTTCCAAAGGTCCCGCACGCTGGGATCACCACCGAAAACACCAAGAAATCACCTTTCTGTAAAATCGACATGATATTCGAAACGAGGTTTCATGGTCAACAAACGAACGTTCTAACACCTCGGCCACGTTCCTCTCTCTCGCTCTAAATATATAGTGCACGTTTGCGTGAAACTCTGAGTCGTGCTATCGACGTTGGATATGTATCAATTCACCGCAACGAAAGCATTTCCCATCTATTGGAAGTGAAAAAGAAGGAACAGGAATCCCTCCAAATAGTATAAGTTCCATCGTTTATGCAGAGATTTTAGAGCTATAGATCTAACGTACACATTAGAAGGACTATCAAAAACCTATCTGAAACAGGAAACAAGGGATAAACCTGTACTCCTGTACAAAACACCGGAGAAGAGTGCGTATATATGTAGCGACACCCTATATCATATATTGTCAAGATAACTAAGGAGAACGTTCTCGAGGTGTTTTTGTCATCACTTGATTCACTGAGTGCTGATAGTTAAGATATCAGCATTATACCTAGATGAGAAATACCCTTACTGTCTTATCACTGAAGGAATTTATTTTGACTTGAACAATAAGGTTCTTGTTAATGATAGCTTTAAAAAGTTTACTGATAAAACTAAAATAGCTAATAGTGTGGCTTAGTTAGGGGACGTGAAATCACGTACATTCTTAAAAACAGAGAGACTAACAATGCATAAATTTACTAAAATTATTCTATCTTATAAAATAACCTCATTCTAACAGATATATTTAACAAAATTACACAAACATATCTTTAAATATTAAGCAGTAAATTTACTTAATAAAGTCGCCAACGGCTTCGAACAACGCCTTCCAGACAAGTTACGCATCTCTTTTAAGAACGGTTGGTGAATGCTGTCATAATTCAGTTCATCTTTTGTATTAAAAAGACTTTTGTTGGTGTATCGCTCAACTGCGCCCTACATATAATAATGAAGAGGGTTGAAACTTGAGGAATCAGATGGTCAGTGATAAGGGGTGAAGAGGTCGCAGAAATTGTCTAACAACAATGACTGGGTTCTGCTGTTTGGGTGGCACAGTGCGAGTCCCGTTGCCAAAAATAAAGTTTTCCAGCAGACACGCTCTTGAACCGGGGAAACACTACCTCCTCCAGGCACTTGATATAGGTCCCCGTGTTGAGTCTGAAACACTGTGGAAAGATGTATGGAGGCATAACTTCGTCATCAGTAGTGATCACTCCAAACAGTTTCGTAATCACCATTATGCTCGTCCGACTATTTCAGAATCTTCTGTAATGTCCTCACATAGACACCTAGACACTCAGAAATGTTCGTGTTGCAGCTTCCGACATGAATGTCAAGCTGTGCAGCATGCCGTTTCCAAATTTCTGGCGGAGTAAATTGCGTCATGGTGCTCATTTTCTCACAGACGGTGCACAACTGACCCTACTATATTGTGCAGTCGATAAAATCAAAAAACAAACAACACGAGCGAAATTAAAACTATATAATTGCGGCAATTTACCCATCGCACCCTATACATACTTAATAAATAGGTGCACACACATACACACACACACACACACACATACATATATATAACTGATCCAAGTGCGACTTTTGGATAATAAGTGCGACATTACTGTAATTATTGAACAATATAGTTCATGCCACTTTGACAGAAAATTTACCAGTAAAAAATTCGCTTATCACCATATTTGTACAAGAACGCACAACTGTAAAAATTTAAAATCAAACTCAGCGTTGCTACTGCACGCTCCAAAAACAATAACTCATTTCCAATAGCATTTTCGGATACAACAATACATATATTTTCGTTGTCCTCTTATTACTGAGAGAAAAAACAAAAACAACATCTATTCCATACCTGAAGATATCTGTAGGAACACACGAAAGCTTGTATTAAAAAATAAGAACTAATGCAGCAGAAATTTATAGAAACAAGGATCTTTTCATTCATAACAGGTTCGGAGGTTTTTGTATATTATTTGAATTGTTTGCGACGATGGATTTCTCGCCAATTAAATCATTAACCTTTGCATTTGTTTTTGTGTGAATAATTCATGAATTTGTAAATGATTGACGTTTATCGAAATATATATATATATATATATATATATATATATATATATATATATAGATAAATCCGACAATTATTTAAAGATATTTAAAAAGAATTAATTATAAAAATTATAATTCATTATA